GGGGCAGGGGGTGGAGCGTTCAGGGGAGGGGGCAGAGTTGGGGCGGGGACTTTGGGGAAGGGGCGGGGAAGGGGCGGGGAAGGGGCTGGGGCGGAGTTGGGGTGGGGCTGGGGCCCCGTGGAGTGTCCACCTTTTTTTAAATTAAAATATGGTAACCCTATGCACGTACAGCTCCCGTTCTGGGCTTCACACACACTGCTGCACCGGGAGCTGCCTCAGGAACAGGCAGGCTCACGGCTGCTAAAGCTAGGGGAGGATGGGTCCCATTTGGGGTGAGATTCATGGCCAGGCAGCGACTCACCCATTTTCTGGAAGTACTCCCGCTTCTGCTGGAAGGTGTCTCGAAAGACCGAGTCCTCATCACTGTCTGTCAGCTGTTCTTCCGGGTAGTCATGGATCTACAACACCCGCCCCCCACAACAAGCCCAGTTAGGACTGTTGATGGACGCACATACAGCATGGGTCATTTACCCCGTCCTGACTGACCACGTAATCCCCTTAGTGCCTCCCTATCTCTCTCTTACACACACAGATCGGGCCCAGCGGTGCAGTTCAGATTCTGATCCAGATCCAGAACTTCCCCCAACTCCGGGAGCGTTTGGACTGATCCAGGTTCGGGACCCTTTTTGAAGTGTGTGTGTCAAGCGCTATATGAAATAGACAATAATTCCTGCTGAGCTGCACTGAGCCCTCCCCTCACACACACCCCTAGGGAGACCCAGCTCCCCCCACACCCCTAAGGAACCCTAATCTGAGCCCAGAACCGAGGATGGAGGCAGGAAGGAGAGCGAAGCCCCTGTCCCCACCCCCAAGGCAGGTAACTGCAGGACAAGGCAAGGGATTCAGGCCTGGTCTACACTTAAAACGTAGGTAACCCAGCTACATCACTCAGAGGTTTGAAAAATCCACACACCTGAGTGCTGAAGCTAGGAGACGCAGCGAGGTAGGCAGAAGAATGCTGCTGTCAGTGTAGGTACCATCACCTGGGGAGGTTGTGTTACTACAGCGATGGAAAATCCCTGTCTGTCAGTGTAGGACGGCTGCGTCTACACTACAGCGTTATGCCAGCATGGCAATGGCGCCACGGCTGTGCTAGTGTAGTCCCCGGGGCACAGACATGTCCTGAGTGTTGAGACTTTTGACATTAATGTCAGTGAAACTGCAGTGTCTGCATGGACCTCAAGGCCAGACGGGAATGAACCGGAAAACCCTGCAGTTTCATTGACGTCAATGGCAACCCACCGCCCCAGCATTTGGCCCTGCATCTTTAATCCTCTGTGAGTGAAGTTTGACAGGACTCGGCATGGTAGCTGTATACAACTCTCTGAGCGAGGTTCTCGACCACCCGCTAGGCTACGGGAGGAACAGGGGCACTGTCACATGGAAACCCAGTTTGCTGCTGGAGACAGCCTGGCTGGTACCGGTTCTGCTGCATCAGCTGGGGGCTCTGGTGTCTTAGCTGCTGGTGCAGCATTCTTGCCGTTATTGGTTCTCTTTGGTTTAGGAGCCGGAGCTGGGGCCGAAGCTGGAGCTGGGGCTGGGGCTGGTGGTGGTGGTGGTGGAGTCAAGGCTCGTCTTGGCCTTGAGGGCTCAGGAGACCTCCGTCGCTGCTGCTGCTGCTGCTGCTGCTGCTGGGAAATTGTCATGGCCTGAAGGGTCATCTGCTGAGCCTGCAAGAAGAAATCCAAGTCTCCATGACCTCTGCGGACCCGCAGACTGGAGACAGGGCAAACCCTCCCCATTCTTCCCCCAGGAGGCACAGAAACACTCATCTCCTAAACAGGCCCATTCATGTAACCTTTTGGGGTTCCTCAGTGTTATGGGCTAAGGTAGGTCCAGACCCACCATGGCCCAAGCAGGCATGTTCAAGGAACTCTGGATCCCCACTACACCATCCATGTAAAGCTCTCGGTGATGAGGTTGTTCCATCAGAGAGGGTTAACATACTGTCAGGCGCTAGGCTACAGAGTTAATACACCTTGGGCCAGACAGAAAGAGATGCTTCAGGATTTGTATCCCCAGTGACTCTCCGGTTGGCTGCTTTGAGCTTTTGGTCTAGTGCTTAGAGCTGGGGATTCCTGTGGTCTATTCCCAGCTCTGCCACTCACCCACAACGTGGCCGTGGGCAAGTCACTTATCCTCTGCGTGCCTCGATTTCCCCTTCTGCACAATGAGGATAATAAAGGTTCCTCACTTCACAGGCTTAAGTGACCAAATCCTTACACACACACACACACACACACACACGTTAACACCCTCAGAGGCACATGGCAGAGAAATGCAGCATGTCAGGGACAAGCTAGACTGGGCTCGGTGGGGAAGAGAATGGAGCTCAGCCCTCTCAGTGCATTCACTCTGGTGTATTCTCTTGTCAGAGAGATGTGCCCCCTCCCCCATTCCCTTCCACTCACCATGAGCAGGGCCTGCTGGTTGATAAAGGCTTGCTGTTGTTCTGCGAGCTGATTGGGATTCACAGCTGGGACCATCGGCTGGGGCGCAATCATGGCTGAGAGAGAGAAGACACGATAAAGAATCACGGGGCCAATGCAGCTGCCCTCCTGGGGGGGCAGGCGAGCGCCCACGAGGGTCCCCTGCACATCAGGCTGGGGACACAGAAGTGCTCGGGGTGTAAGCGGTGAGTCTAACTCAGGGGCAAATGGAAATCAGAACCTGAGCACGAGGTGCACATGGCAGAACCAAGCCCACCCCAGGAGTCTACCTCTTAGCTTTCCCACCTCCAAACAAACAAGAGATTGTCCTGGGCCAGTCCAGGCTGGGTGACTATATTCTGCCTCCCGCCCTAAGCCCCTCCTGCACTTTCAATTGGATACGACACACATTTTCCATTTCCTGCTCTAAACTATCGTGTGTGGCCGTAGGGCTGCTGAACAGCCACGCTCCAACACAGAGGTGGCTGCATTTCAGGGGCGGCTGCCGCAACTCCTGTACGTGTCATTTGTAAAGTGCGTCATAGAATCAGAGCGTTCGAAGGGATCGCAAGGGTGAAAGGCCCTTTGTAAATGTACTCACTCAACACCCACCCATTCCAAAAACTGTACCACCCCTTTTACTGACTGGGCCATTTTTGCATTTTGTTACCTGGCATGGGTGCTGGCATCATTGGCATGGGTGCTGGCATCATTCCACCCATCATTGGCATGGGTTGGTAAGCTGGTACTTGCATCATTCCAGGGTAGCCTAGGTGGAAAGATGCCACAAGGGCAACAGTCACGGTCAGCGACTCCCAAGTAGGAAAGCGCTTCCCTGCCCCAGGCAGCGCCCCATGTAGACCTGCTACTGTCGGCGCTGCCAATGTGTACAGAGGACGGTGACATGCGATGGGGCTTCCCATCAGGCTACACAGCAACACCCAGGCAGGAGGAAACCGTCAGGAGAACTGGCCAAGCGGGAGGGGACGCCTGGCAGATGAACACACACTAACCCCACTCAACAGCATGCTCTGGTCTCTGCCCTCCACCCAGCCTCACTCGGCACCCCTTGTCCTCAGGAAGCTACTGATCCCAAGAAACCAGGTCTGCAGGTTTTGTGTTTGCAAGGGAGAATGTCTTCAACTGATGGGCAAAGCTCTCTGGACCTGCCACATCCAGCGCATTGATAAGCCCCCACCCCGCAACGTGGCTGGACGGGCAAACAGCCCACAGCAGACACAGAACAGAGCGTCAGCACAGGATGCTGGGGAAAAATGCCCTCCCTCTCCTGGAATAAGCCCCTGCTGTGCACCAGGCTGTGAAATAGGAAGGCCGCTGTGCACAAAGCTGGTAACCCTTGTGGCATGATCACGGCTAGCAGAGAACGGGAGGGTTTCACGCCCTCCCGTAGAGCCACAGAACAGTACAGACCTGCCCCAGGGCCCCATTCCAACCCATTTAAAAACACCACAAGAGAGAGCCCACCTGCCTCGCTGATTTGTTAACTAGCCGTGTCTGGCAATTGGCCATGCCACCGTGATTTGTAATAGCCACAAATGCGTCCCATGGCCATGCCCCAAAGATCTCCAATAGCCACTGATTCCCTCTCACCCCCGTCTCACAGACTTGCAATAATCATTAAGCTGCCCGTATGTCTGCTTCCCATGTGTTGCAACAGCCACAGGTATTCCCACGGCACCGCTTGGCCACGCCCCACAGAGATATAACCTGGACTCCAAGCCAACAGGCAAAAAAACAAAGGAGAGAGAGAGAGAGAGAACAAACACACCCAAACACAAGAGCGAGAATCTGAATATGGTTCAGACTTACTAACCCTCTGAATAGCTGGGGATGATGGGGAAGGCTGGGAGGAAGCAATAAGAGAGATTAAAATCCTCCACTCAGAGGCAGCCAACATTGTGGAGCCTGTTGGGTCTGTTTAGTGCGGTGGGAGGGGCTAAGGTGGACCTGAGATACCACTGATGTGCTCATTGGGTGGGGGAGGGACGAGCCATCTCCAGGTTCAACATGGAGAAAGGCGTCAGACTCCTGGCAGGAGGAGGCATTGAGCAGTGGTGCTGTTGGTGGAAGGCCCTGGGCCAATCTGACTCTGGGAGAGGAGCATGGTGGCACCCTCTACACAGTAGAGGGTAGGTATAAAGGGTAGATATAAATGGTCAGTTTTCAGAATGGAGAGAGGTGAATAGCGGTGTCCCCCAGGGTCTGTACTGGGACCAGTCCTATTCAACATATTCATAAATGATCTGGAAAAAGGGGTAAACAGTGAAGTGACAACATTTGCAGATGATACAAAATTACTAAAGATAGTTAAGACCCAGGCAGACTGTGAAGAGCTACAAAAGGATCTCTCAAAATTGGGTGAATGGGCAACAAAATGGCAGATGAAATTTAATGTTGATAAATGCAAAGTAATGCACATTGGAAAGCATAATCCCAACTATACATATAATACGATGGGGTCTAAATTAGCTGTTACCACTCAAGAAAGAGATCTTGGTGTCATTGTGGATAGTTCTCTGAAAACATCCACTCAATGTGCAGCGGCAGTCCAAAAAGCAAACAGACCGCTGGGAATAATTAAGAAAGGGATAGATAATAGGACAGAAAATATCCTTTTGCCTCTGTATAAATCCATGGTACGCCCACATCTTGAATACTGTGTGCAGATGTGGTTGTCCCATCTCAAAAAAGATATATTGGAATTGGAAAAGGTTCAGAAAAGGGTAACAAAAATGATTAGGGGTGTGGAACAGCTTCCGTATGAGGAGAGATGAGTAAGACTTGGACTTTTCAGCTTGGAAAAGAGACGACTAAGGGGAGATATGATTGAGGTCTATAAAATCATGACTGGTACAGAGAAAGTAGATAAGGAAGCGTTGTTTATTACTTCTCATAACACAAGAACTGGGGGGTCACCAAATGAATTAATAGGCAGCAGGTTTAAAACAAACAAAAGGAAGTATTTCTTCACACAACACACAGTCAGCCTGTGGAACTCCTTGCCAGAGGATGTTGTGAAGGCCAAGCCCATAACAGGGTTCAAAAAAGAACTAGATAAATTCATGGAGGATAGGTCCATCATGGCTATTAGCCAGGATGGGCAGGAATGGTGTCCCTAGCCTGGGCTAGATGGACCTTTGGTCTGACCCAGTAGGACCGTTCTTATGTTATGTTCAGTAGCCTCCAGGGCTACTCCCCAGCGCGTTACAGCCTCCCGAGGCACACGCTGACCCAGTCCAGAATGCACTGTGAATCAGTCGAGCACGTGGCCTCACCTCATCCTAGAGACCAGCTGGCCCACACACCTCTGTGGCCCAGCAGCAGTCCCTGTCACAGCATCTCCACATGCTGACCCGGGATGCTCACCCCTCCCCTACTGACCTGCAGAAGGAAAGACTCCTTGCTGGGTGGGTCCAATTTTTCCACCTCCTTTCATGCGTCCAGTCAGGCTCCCTCCATTCTCCATATCCTAAGAGAGAGAGCCCAGCGTTACACGGCTCACCAGGACAGGGGTTGGGGCAGATGGACAGACAGAGTGTGCAGCAGGACAGACAGCCACACGCAGGCATGCTGGGATCACATCTCCCCATCCCACTGAGCTGAATTCCAGGGAAGGAACATACAGACTGACAGGCAGAAGGAGGGAGAGAGGGAAGGAAAAGCAGCTGTAGGCAGACAGAGGGGAGGAAGCGACGTGAGACTTACTGGCACTCTGGACCCTTGATGGAGCACTGGGTCAAAGAGGTCATCCACATAGTGCTCTAGGCCTGTGGGGGTCCTCGGGACACCTTGGACTCCCAGCCCTGGGAGCAAACAAGGGTCCAGTCACCAATTAGGTGTGGAATGGCCCCTCCCTCCCTTCCCCAGTCTTGTTACACTGGGTATGCGCCCTCCCCGACCCCCTGTCTCCCTGAATGCTGCTGACTTCAGCCGCCGGGGCACCGGGGTCTACTCTGTCTGACTCCTCCAGTGCCTGCCTCACTCCTGGGGAGGAGCTCACCTGAGTAGGTGCTCTCAGCGTTCAAGGATGGCGGCGGAAAGGAAGGAGGGAGAGATGGAGCCTGAATGCCTGGTGCAGGAGGGATGTCCCAGTCCATCCTGTCAGAGGGAAAGTCAGAGAGTTGAGAAAAGCACCAAGTGCTGGGAGCATAGGCGCCGACTCCGTGGGTGCTCCGGGGATGGAACACCCATGGCCACCCACCAGCAGCCAACCTCCCCGACCCGCACCCCCCACCCCAGCTCACATCCGCCTCCTCCCCTGAGCACACTGCATCCCCGCTTCTCCTTGCAAGCTTGCCACCGCGAAACAGCTGTTTCAAGGTGTAACAAGCTGTGGGAGGGAGGGGGAAGGAGTGGGAACGCAGCGCGTTCAGGGGAGGAGGCTGGGAAGAGGTGGGGTGGGGATTTGGGGAAGGGATTGGGCGGAGACTTTGGGGAAGGGGTTGGAATGGGGCAGGACAGGAGGGGGCAGGGCAGGGGTGCAGTCAGGGTGAGGCCAGGGGCAGGGGGACACGAGCACCCACTGGCGCCAGGAGAAGTTGGTGCCTATGGCTGGGAGTGGGGATGTATGCTTGGGAAGCGGCAAGGCGCACTCACATGTCCAGAGAGGCGTTCCGGGACGGGCTCCCTTCCCACTCGGGTGTGATGGGATAGTCAGCTGAGGACAGGGCAGGGTGGCCGGCCTCCTCCATCTCTCCAATGAGATCCAGCATGAAGTCACAGCCGGGCAGGTCCCGCCACACCTCACCTGTGAGCATGGAGACGGACCACCCTCGAGGGTCCTTATCCAAACCCCTGAGAAGGGGAGAGAGAGGGAGAGGAAGAGAATGCCAGAGTCAGTGCAGAGGAACACCAGGGCCATGGAGGAGGGAGCAAGGGAGGGAGACGTGGTGAGAAGAAGAAAGAGTTCAATTTCCTTCCCCTAGCGCCATTTTTTTCTAGTCCGGGCTGGTTATTCCTCCCCTCAGCAGACTCCACACAGCCCCCAACTAACCCTAACCCTCCCCCAGCATATATGGATCTCATAGCCTCTCATAGCCCCCTGTGAGGGACAGATCACCATCCCTGTTGTTCAGAGAGGGAGAGAGAGACACAGAGTGATTAAGTGATTTGCCCAAGATCAGACGGAGAATCTGGCAGAGCCAGGGACTGTACCCAGATCAGCTGATTCCCATGCCCCAAGGCCATCTTTTCTCTCCCTGGGATCAACGGTCCTCCCTCTCTTCCTGCACTCTGAGCTAGGACAGACACTGGGAGACACACAGCTCCTCCTGACTTGAGAGCATTTCACTGGACTCTGCCAGACAGGGTTTCACCAGCCCCATCTTGCTGGCCTGCCCAAAGGCAGTGTGGCCTAGTGAATAGAACACAGGACTGGGACTCAGGAGACCTGGTTTTTATTCCTGGCTTTTCCAGTGGCTGCTGGTTGACCTCAGGTAAGTCACTTCCCAGCCCCGTGCCTCAGTTTCCCCATCTTTAAAATGTGGACAATGATACTGACCTCCTTTGTAAAGTGCTTTGAGATCTATGGATGAAAAGTGCTATAAGAGATCTAGGAATCACTATTATCTTCACCATCACCACACTTTTCAGTTTCATCATCTGCGCGTACACACACACACACACACACACACACACACACACACACACACACCACCCACACACACACACCACGCTGTATCAGTGTAAC